CATTTTATTCATCTTTGATGATGATGATAATTCATTCATAGATAACTTGGTTATCATTATTATTAAGATCCGGTCAAAACTTTTTTTTCCAATTCATAATTGATAACCATTTGTTGTGTACAAGAGTATGAATTTTTTTTCATCTTGTTTGTTTACTCCGCCTTTATGATGATCATCATGTGATGATGATGTTATAGCAAAGTTTTTATTCCATCAAAATTTATTGAAATGAGAGAGAGAGAGAGAGAGAGAATGATTTAATTTAAAAGTTTGAATTTTCTTTTTTTCAATTTTCCATCACTCATTGGTTTTACAAAACTTTTGATTTTTTAACATATGATGGTGAAAAAGCCTTGTTTTTTTCATTCTTTTGCTACATAGTTTCATGAATGAATGAATGAATGGGTTTCATTTTAAAAAAAAATTTAATGAGTGAGTCAGTCGTGCAATCGCATGTAATCAAGCAATTAATTTTAATTTTTTCCATTTCTATTTCAGGCCCAATTAACTTTGTGATCGATTTTTTCCCATTTTTCTGTTGTTGTTGTTGTTGAAGGGGTTGTGAAAAACTCACCCATAAATATACAGATTTGAAAGCGAGAAAAAAAACGATTCATTTTCAATGAATTGGATTTTCATACGAAAATTAAATACTACGCGTTTCTCAAAATGGGGAAAACAATTTTGGTTTCATTTATGGAGCAACAACGACAACAACAACTAACCTACCAACTTGTCCGACATAATACACACAATGATTACAATCAAATCTTTTGCTCACTTGTTCATTTATTCATTTTTAACTCTCTTGAGTTTTGACAATCAAAAAAAAAAAAATTCATTTTATTCATTCATCGAATGATTTCATTCCTTTCATTTTATATTCATTGATTTTATCCTTTGTTGTTGTAGCCAGAATGTCTGATGATCTGATTTGTCGGGTTTTCAGTATTGTCGGGTATCTAAGGATTACACCACTACCCGTCTTGTACAACAAACAAATAAACCCGACAGATGTTTGTTCATTTTTCCGTATGATGATATGAATGATGGCAATATGGTTTTTTTTCACTCTTATTATTTATTCACATTATTCATATACACCTCTTTTGGTTCTGAATTTATTTTTTTCGTTTATAATTGAATTTATTAGCAGAAAAAAATCATTCAAAATTTAGTCAGTCAATTTTGTTGTTGTTGTTGTTGTTTGGATTGAAAATTATTTAACCAACTTCTCCAACTGTGCACCAGACAAGATGACATGTCAAAAAGTAAATGTTTTTATGGTTTTACAATGTTTACACATTACTACTATTTTGTTATTTCGATGATGATGATCATCATAAAGTTTTTCATTCATTCATTCATTTGGGCTAACCATAAACCCATTTTGATAATTATCTTGTTACAGAATTTTCAGAGAATGCAATTCATACGAGATGCTCTCCTGTTTAATACTTTTAGTAATAACAATAAACCAGAAACTTTTCACATCTCGTATTATTCTTTTTCACTATTCATTCTGGTCATGGTCATATCGATGTGATTTTTATTTTTTTTTTGGGTCCCTGGAGAAGATTTATACTCATTAAACAACAACACATCAGTGGTTTTTACAATGTTCAATGTTTTTGTTTTCTATTTGTTCAAAAAAATGAAATGAAATGAATTTTTCCTCCCATTATTCCTATTACCGAAAATTCAATATAAATGTCCGAATTGGGACAATTTTCGGTTTTATTATTAGTCAGTCGTTTTTTTTCTTGCTCGATAATGACGATGATTGCTTTGTTCAAAGTACATTCATTTGAATCTATGGATATTTTTGCATCAACAACAATCATAGGTGTGTTTGATCATTTTGAATTTCGATCAACATTGGAAAAAATTTAATAACTAAAAAAATCAAATTCTAATGATGATGATTACATAATAATAATAATAATAATAATACAGACACGCCCATATCGATCATTATCATATATTGTTGTTGTTATATCAATTTCTAATTTTGAATATACAAATGTATTATTTGTGTCATTTATATCTCATATCCATTGCCATTAAAATGGTGATGGAAAAAAAAACAATCTCCCATTGTAATCATCAAAGAAATAATCAAATCTCGTTGATGATAATGATGATGCTAATGGATTTCAAATACGGATCCATTGTGATGAATAAAAATTGGGTGCGTTTTTTTCCGTCGATGATTATAATGGTGGTTGTTTGAGGTTAGGTGTCAACAACAACAATCATCATCATATTTAAAGTTTTGATTTTTGAATTAAGAAAAAAAAAATAAAATTGTTTGTCCCAATTTCCTTAAGTTGATGATTGTTCATGGGTCAATTCCAGGTTTACTACCACCTATTAAATGATGATGATCATGGCCAGAAAAAATGGTTCCACTCATTGTTTACCTTCATCACCTGCACACACACGTCTTTCCTGTTGGCCTGACTCTACAACAACATTATGAATGTTTTTTTTCTGTTTTCAATTTTTTCTCTGGTTTATTAGTTTGAGGCTAAGGGAAATAATGTGTGGATTCATCATCATCATTAATCAATTTTTTTTCATTGACAATCTCATTGTGCGTTGAAGCTTTCATCGTTTATCTATCTATATGTGTGTGTTGTATAATAAGAGAGAGAGGGTAATTAGTTGAATTATAATCAGATGTTTCACAATACAATAACAATTTTCAAAAAACTTTTTATTTACTCATTGAATTTACTACTGACTGAATAATAACTTTGACAACAACAGCAACACTGATGACTATTCAAGTAGTTGTTGTTGTATAGTTGTTCAATTTGGCGGTTCCAAAACCAATTTTTTTTTTTTTGGAATAATGATTATTATATCCAACATTCTGGATTGAATTACCTACAAAGTTCTACATAGTCCCAAAACGAACACGGCTATTTTGGTGCGTGTACGAGTGTCTGTCAAATGATAAAGTTTCAATGACCAACGATAATTTATGGCTAGCAAAATAGATGGTCATCAAAAACGAAACAAAAATCGAACTTATAATTATGTCAAATGTATACAATGATTATGTGAATGATCACTGAATCACTGAAATCACGTAATTTTTTTTGTTGGTACACACACACAAAAAAGTACCGTTTTCTCATTCAATTCAATTCAGATTTCCTGTACAAATCAATTGAATAAAATTATGGAAAAAATTTTAATTTATTATATCTAGATTCTTGCCAATGAAAAACAATTACTCCACGTTCATTCAGGTTAATTTCCTTTTTTCTCTGATTATAATTGTCGTTGTCGTTGTCGTCGTCGTTGATCTATCCCATAATTATCATTTCATTTCATGTTCATTTGAATTTTTTTTTCTTTTTCAATAATTGAAAAAAAGTTCATTGAAAATTAATTAGAATCCTGAAAGTTAATCTGAAGGTTTTTTTTCTTCAATATTTTTGATTTCTCGATGATTGGCTCATAATCATTCCATTAATTATGAGCTTAATTTGGCAAAAAGCAAAAGACTTTTTATTTGCAAATGATGGGCAAAAGACTTTGTGTCTTTCTCACTGTCTGTGTGTGTGTAGCATTACATCTTCACAACAGACCAAAATAACTAATAGAACACAGCTGTTGAAATAATAATTTCATTTTTTTCTTGGCCAGACTAGATTATCATTCAACAGAAATAAACAAATTTTCTCTCTCTCGCTTTTTCTGCCATTTCGCTAAACGATAATTGCAAATCGATTTGTCTATTTTGATGATTGACAAAAAAAAAGTCAATTTATATGAACATTGATTTGTAATTAAGAATTGAATTTCATTTCATATTTAAAATTTGATAAAAGAAAAAAAAAGTAGATTTTGATTAAATTATTCTGATCACTAAATCAGCTACGACTACAAATATATTACCGGAATGAAACTTTAAACGATCTTATCTTTCTTCGTGTTTTTGTGTATATAGTCGCCTACACTGAAAAAAAAACATAATGTGAATCGAATCGAACATTGAACATTTTTTTTGATAGAAAAAAATGGAATTGAATTGAACACACACAACTAGACAAAACTACTAAATAAAAATGATGGGAATTTTTTTTTCTTTCTTTGTCAAAATTGTATTCATTCTTCAATTTTTTTTGTTGCTCAGACAGATTTGCGTGATTCGATCATATTAACCATTTGATGATGATGACGGGATAGTCCAATAATGATAATGATGATGATAATAATAATAATAATCGACCGGATCGAACTCTACGATACCCAATATACAATACACGTATATTGAATGGGGGTGTGTGTGTGGTGGTGGTGGTGGTGGTGTTGTTAAGGGGGGTTAAAATGGCCAAAATAGCTTCCAATTCCATTTATATTATTGGCCACTGATTATTATGTATTTCTGATCGAAAACAAGAGAGAGAGAGAGAATTCATTGTTATTTGAAAATGCGTGTGTGTGTGTCTATGTTGATTTTATATTTTATTCAATTTAATTCACACAAATTTTTTTTCATTCATCCAATCAAATAGTCAAGAACGATTGATTGAGTGATGGTATGGTCTTATATATTTAATTAACTGGAAAAATAGGTGGACTGCTGCTGCTGCTGCTATTATTGATGTTGATGTGTGTGTGTGTGTGTGGTTTGATTGTAAATCTTTCTGTCTTTTTTTTGAAAATTAATGTAATTTTCACAATTTATTTCAGTTTTTTGATGTAGACATGAATTTTTTTCCAATTTGCCCTATAATAATAATGACATTGCCTGACATCTTTAGTTATGAAGATGAATTTCGAGGCGGAAATTGTTTTTTTTTGTTTTGTTTCGTTTTATATGATCTGATTCTTATGCTGTTATAATTGTTGGTTTTTTCAAATTTTTTATTAACTCGGTTTTTTTCTTCTATTTGCCCTTACCTGTTTTTTCGGAATTCTTTTCAATTTCTATGATCTTTATGATTTGGCATCATCCATTTCTTCGAAACAACAACGTTCAGGTGTGGTTTCAAAATCGTCGTGCAAAATGGCGTAAACGAGAAAATACGAAAAAAGGCAAGCATTTTGTTTGATGTTTTTTATTTCTTGATTTTGTGCAGTTTTTTCCATTTACTAACATGATTAAAATCGGTTTTCGATTGATTTTCAAATTTCGTTGTCGTTTATTTTTGACGATAATTTGACATATAGGACCGGGAAGGCCAGCACATAATGCACATCCGCAATCATGTAGTGGTGAACCAATACCACCGGATGAGGTTGTTAAACGTGAACGAGATAAAAAGGAGAAAAAATTAAAAAAACAATTGGAACGACAGGCCAAACGTTTGTTGCAATCGAAAAATAAACCCGGTGTAAACACTGCCACATTAGCTGAAGCGATACAGCAAACATTATGTGAAATACGTTGCCTAAATATTTATGCAAAAGAACCAGAAACTTTGATTGGCGGTGAATTATTCGCCCTATTAGTTGATGCATTGACCACCGATGGTTGTAATGAGTTGCTAAAAAATGTATTCGAAAATCGGCATTCGAATATTCAATCGAAAAAATCCATTTCATCGTCTTCATCTTCATCATCGCCACCACCGCCGCCGCATTCGATCAATTTCAATAGTTTTAATGCAGCAGCAGCGGCAGCCGCTGCCGCTGCTGTAGCTGCTGCTGCCAATATGAATGGATCAAATGGTAGTTTAAACGCGGTGGCCACTAATGCTAATTCACCGAATAGTTATTCGAACCATCATCATCTTCATACAAATCACCATTATCATCATCATCAACAGCAGCAATCGGAAACAACCAAAACGAATCCATTTTCAATTGATAATCTTCTTTCATCTCGTCATGTATCCGGTTCATTATTTTCGGCTGCAGCAGCAGCAGCGGCAGCAGCTGCTGCTGCCGCATCAATTACACAACCGGCTGGATTTTTAGTCAAATCAAATAATAATGGAATTGTGGCCACCAATAATTTGAACAAAAAAGATTATGATGAATTTGATGTAGATGATGAAGTTATCGATGAAGATGATGATGACGATGATGATCGTATTTTGAGTGATGATGATCATAATGATAATAATTTAAGCGGTAACGAAGATGTTGATGATGATGCCATATCAAATTGTTCATATCGATCGAATAATTCCGATGGAACGACATTATTATCACCAAAAAAAACCAGTAATAATATTAATAATCATCATCAGCGTCATCATAATAATGATGATAATAATAAAAATGAACAGCAGATGGTAAAGAAAAATCCACAACAAAAACGATTACGACGATTAACCAACGACGAATCACCAGTTGATGATGATGATAATAAAAAAGAACAACAGTGCAATCCAACTGATCTCAGTATTTTAAAAAATGGACAACGTAGTGGTTCATTATCACCATTAAAATCACCGATGCTTGAATTATTTGATGAAGATGATGATGAGAAAAAATGTGTAAACAATAATTCAACAACAACAACAACAACAACGACAGTGGCTTCCAATGTATTCATCAATGATTGATTGATCTACAATAATAATTTGATTTCCAAAATAACCAATTTACAATTTCGACGAAAAAATTGATTTAATTGGTAATTTACTTTGATTCCAATTTCTTTATGTCTCACACACACACACACACACACACTCATTGCACATAAAAAATTTCAAAAAACTAATTAATCACACGGATAAATATCTCACTGCTGCTGCTTCTACTTAGGTAATCAATTTGTTTGTATCATTCATATTGATTAATTGTGACATGTGACAAACGAAATTCTTGACTTCTTCTCACATTGATTCCTTTTGATTGTTATTGTTGTTATTGACTTCCCTCACACACTCATACACAAATATAAAAGCAATAATTTATTCTTCATCCGATTCAGGTTTGTAGTTTTAAACAAATCCTTCCACTATGCTAATGTGTTGCCATAATTATAATTTCCAATAATCAAATAGATTCCTAAATGAATTCCAAAAAAATTTTAAATTTCGTTTCAAATGTAAAAATTACACACACACACACACACAAACAAAGATCACATCTGATTTTATCATCACAAAATATGTCTGTGTTTGCTTGTAATTGGAAAAAAAAGAAAAAATTTATTGATTCGATTTTATTATTGATCCACCAAAAAAAATATTCCTTCCACTTTTTATTATCTGAATCCTTTGCTGCATATCTTTTGCTTATTATTTAATAACAACCTACCTTATTGTTATTTATTTATTTGATATAAAAATAATGACCACGACGAAACAAACAAATGAAAAACAAAAACAAAATGATGATTTAATATATGTGTAAATAATAATAATATCGATAATGATGATAAATAAATAAAACCTGAATCTATGAATTAAAAATATGTCTATAATTTTTCACTCTATGATTATGATAATGATTTTTTTTTTTCATTCATTCTTTTTTTTCGTTGAAATTCATTTTCTGAATAATCTAGTGTTGTGTGTTAGCCAGTTCCGCATCATTTGTTACGAGTGTTTTGGTTGTTTGGTTTCGGTTTTCGGTTAGTGAATGGATACAAGATGTGCGATGAGATGATGAGCTTTTTTTCATTGTTTCGTTTAGAATTTCATAATAAAATTATGGTATAATTATGATTAAATTATTGGTCAATCGTGCTTTACTCTTGATGATAATTTTCTTCTTCTCGTTGTTGTTTAGTGTAATTTAGCACGGTAATTCGTGCCAATTCAAACAAACAACAACACATTGGTTAACTGAATATCAAATTATGATGATGGTATGAATTCACGGAGATAGAAAAAAAATGCCACTCATCATCATCATCATCATCATCATTATTAGACCTTTGAGCTCCACGATTTATGTGTGTGTGTGTGTGGTGTATTTGTTGTTGATCTAAATCAAATCATGTCAATGATTAATGGATTATAATTTGTATTTTTGATTTTTTTTCTCCATCTCTTTGGATTTGTGTAAATGGATTAAAATGTATGATGATGATAATAATAATAATAATAATAATGATGACCGAAACCTAAAATGTTGGATCATGTTTTTTTTTCGTTTTACTTCGAGTTTTTTGCTTGCTTGTTTCTACTGCGATGATCATCTAAATTGGACCAATTATAATCTCCTCTTTTTCATAGAAAACGTTTGTTTGTTTTTCTGCTTGTTTGGTTAGTGTTGTAAGGTTTTTTCTTGTTTCTTTTCGATTTTGAATTTTGGAGATGATCTTTTGCGCACCCAAAACTCACCCAACAAATGGCCAATTATTTAATTACATATCTATGAAAAACTTTTCTTGCAATCATCATCATCATGTGTTTCAATATTAAATAGTTTTTCGTTTGTTTTTTTTTGTTTGTTTGTTTGAAAAGAAAATTATTCAAACATGTGTGTGTGTGTGTGTGTGTATTCTTATATAACTAATTCAATAACAAATGATTATCATCACCATTGTTCATTGATCATGATCATTAAATCATTAATTTTTTTGTTTCATAATAAGATGGTGGTGGCGAAATGTACAAAACAAGAGTAAAAAACACTTCAATTCGTGACTTTTATTTGGCTAATCATTTTCGAACCAATTGATAGATTTTGATTTTGTTGAAATTTTCAAAATTTCAACAAAATTATGATTAAAATTTGTTGACCAAGAAAAAAACAAACACAAGACGCCCAAATATTCTGGAAGCAAGAATTTTTTTCATTCTGAAAAAAATAGTAGATAGATAATGATATATTGTATTTATTTAGGATTTTTTACGAAATTTTTTCATCTGAACAAACAAAAACAGAAAAATTTAAAAGGTAGAAATCAATTTGAATAAAATGGCCATTATCAAATTCATAACGATTTTGAATGATGATGATATTAGATTCCATTATATCATCATCATCATTACCATTCAATGATGATGCTAAATTGTTTGACTTATGAGAATAGAAAGAAATCGACGTTCATTTGATTTATTTATTCAATTTTTTTTCTTCTTTTTCATAATGATGATGATCCAATGGGTACATTTATTTAATGCCGATTTAATTCAAAAAGATCATCATCAATGATAATAATGATAGAATTTATTTATTGGCGGATAAATAAAATGGAAAAAAATGTTTAGAGTATCATGGTACCAATTGTCATAATCTTTGCTTTATTATTAGCTATATTATCATTATCAACAATTGAAAATCTTGTGTTGTTGTTATGATCCGAGAGATTGGTTGGCCGTTTTTCTTTTTCTTTGTTTTCTTCTCTCTTGTCCGATCATCATTATCATCATAATTGACATTTGAACATTATTTTCCATCAATAGATCGAATGAATAAACAAACAAGCCCACAGAGTATTTTTGTTTTGTTGTATTATTATATAATATTTAGCCAAACAAACAATAAACAATGCCATTAAAAATAAGCAGCACTATATATCTCTACGCACACACAAACACTCACTCACTCATATTCATTCATCACCCAACATACACACACACACACACACACACTTCATTTACATAATAGAAATTTTGTTCCCTTCGTTTTTGATGATGATGATGACTAAAATCGGTAATCCGATTTGAGGTCGGTAAAATGAAAATAAAGTAAGTGGCAATGTTAACGATCAGGATCCTATTCTTTGTTCTATTTTTCGATTTAAAAACGAAACGGAACAAAGATTTGCCTATTTCGTATTGTATGTGTGTGTGTTTGTGTCATGCAACAACAACAGCAAAAGGGGCACAACTTGAATAATAATGGAAACGCGTGCCCAACACGTGATCATCGAATGTCTTCTTTGTCGTTGTAAGGGATCGTCGCCGTCATCATTCAAATTAGCTCATCGTTGATACTAATAATGATGATGATGATGATGATGATGAAAATGATAAACATATATAGAAATATAGAGAATCAATGAATAAAAGGCTAGTGAAGTGAAAAAAGAAAAGAAAATGAAAAAGAAACTTTCACGGATATCAAATGGCATTGAAGATAAATCAAAAGTTTGACCTTTTTTTCCTCGTTCTCACTATTCTATCCAATCATCCAATATTTCCGATTTGTCATGATGAATTCTATGAGATTCGAGACGTTGTTGTTGTTTTTTCGTTCTATCTGGCCACTGCTAATATTCTATGGTTGGAAAAAAATAAAATATATTTCGATCACTAATGGAACAGCCTTCCACCGAATCAAATCACATTATTGTTAGTATAAGAATAACATCATTCTTGTTTTCGATACTACAACCTTGATGATTTTGTGAAAAAAATGGGAAAACAGAAAAAAAAGACAAAAACCTAAATCCAAAAAAAAAAATACGTAAAACGAATGACTTATGAGAAACCATCAACTACTTGTGTGTGTAAATAAATCGAATAACATCATTAATACATTATATTATGATCATCATATCTATTCTATTTGTATGTTGATGCAACGAAAAAAAAATTGACTACATTTTCTTCTTATTGGTGACAGAAAAATAAAATAAAAAAAACGGTTATCACTAAATGTTTTATATATTCACAAACCATTAATGGTCTTTTCTTTCTTTCTTTCTATCTCGCCAGTAAATTGAAAGGCGATTTGTCATCCAATTTATCCACCAAAAGTGTGTGTGTGTGTGTATGTTTTTAGTCACCTTTATTTTTCAACATTGTATTTATTCATTTTATTATTACAACAATAGAAATAGATCGAGAAATGCTAATTTGTTTCAGAAAACACATTCGCACATACAAAACATGTGTGATAAATAAAAGATCAATGAAAGATGATACCAAAAGAAAATACTACTACTAATTTTAGCAATTCTATTCACATATCATTTTGTCGTTTATTTTGATTTCTTTGTTTGATTTTTGTTTGGTTTCGATTCGAAACTAATCAAATTAGGCAAGGACAATGATCATGATGATGATAGAAAAAATCGATCTTTAAAGACAATTTATCTTTGTCGTCGTTTTTCCGTTTCTAAACATTATCATTTTTGGATTTTATTTTTATTTTTCACACTCACTCACACACACACACACAGTGTGTGGATGCAAATTTATTCAAATAAAAAATTATTGTCTAGAATAAGAATAAAAGGAAATTTTATTTTTGCAATTTGAAACAGTTATTTGTATTCGAAATGAATGTTTAAACAATAATAAAACATCTATAGATAAATTTGGGGACAGCGCACGGGATTTATCGATTGTGTGAATCTTTTGTAATGAAATTTTGTTGCCTTCTCATGTAATCTAATGTAAAATTTTATTTTTCCTCATCATTTTTAAAACCAATGGACAATGGACATGCTTATTTTTATTATTATCATTTAGGTAACGGGATCATCATCATTGTGATGTAACGATTTTTTTGTTGTTTTGAAAAAAATAAAAGGTCAATTGATCTATAATTGTCCATATATCACCACTACTACCACAATGACCATGGCCACACATTGATATTGCATTTTGTTAAAATAAATCGGTGAAATGAAATGAATTTAAATCAGATTTGATTCTGTTTAGTCTAAATTTCATTCATTGGTATCTGTCTGTTTTTTTTTGTGTGTTCTGATGATGTTTTTCCATCATCAAAAATTTAATTTCTACTAAATAATTTATTTCCGATCCCGGTTATTTGAATTGAATTTTCTCGTTCGTTTTTTTTTGTTGTTTCGTTGACCAAAAAAAAAAGTTTTTATCGTCAAAATTTAATAAATTTCGTTATTGTTTGGTGTTTGATAATTAAAATATTAATTATTCAAATTTCAATTTATATTTATGTAATATTTTCACACACACACACACAAACCCTGTGTTGTGAACGAGTTGAATTGATAAAAAATAATAAACAACAACTATATGGTAAACAAACCTATGACAGTTCATAAATATAGCGAATAGAATGAATCTCCAAAAATGTGACAATATTTTTGTTTTCGGAAAAAAAATGATAATAAATGAATGAATCATCT